GCCAGTAAAAAAAACACATCAGTGGTGCTGAAACACTCTAAACTTAAAGGGGACCTATCATGCAAAATGCACTTTTGTACGTCTTTTATACATGAATATGTGTCCCCGGTGTTCCAGGGAACTCACCAAGTGTCAGAAAACACAACCCTCTCTATTTTCCTCCATACCCAAATTTCTAAAAAAGGGGCTGCAACGGATCTGATAAAAACTGATCCAGATTTGAACACTGTCCTGACGTCAGGACGGTGGCGCTACGGCTATTGGGCCAACTCCACCAATCAGGAGGAGACAGCTACGGCCATTGCCGTTCGAAAGCGCTGGAGACGCTGTAGTACATATGCCAGGCCAGTAGATGGTGCTGTTCTCACTGAATCTGCCCAGAGCTAGAAATTGTCAAATTGAGCAAAATGAGGCATGGCTAAAATGCATGATCTGTTTGGTATTTTGAAAAAAAAAAAGTATAAATATGCCTTATATAGGTATGGTCCTACACTATATTATTCAAATATAGCATGATAGGTCCACTTTAATCTAATTAATGCGTAAAATATGTGATGGTGGATGTTATTGACGTGCATTGGCTTTTAATGTTGTAGCTGCAAGGAATTGTGGGACCTTACGTTATGCTAAAGGAGAAAAGAAAAGAAAGCGCTGAAACACCTTCACTTACATTAGGAGAATGGACCAGCTCTTATCACGGCACTGAGATACTTCAGGGTCACTCACAAACCTTCTTAAAAAATACACCGCAGACCATAACGGTTCACTTTTGGTGTGTTGGGCTTAAATGCAGCAGTTTGATTCCTATTATAGTCAAATCCTGCTTCCAGCTACTGTGTGCTGACTAATACTAAATGCATCCATATGACTCATCGGTGCCCAAGAGTTATCATGCAGTCACCCTCTGTTGGAGATACACTACATGCATCTCAGCTTTATACTACTATGAAGAGATAGATATTCTCTTGAAATGTATTGTATTACAAAAGTTACCATAAATCATTCACATAAGCAACATGTGAAATGCACTTCATAGTAGACATGGCTTCCCTTTACCAAGTCAAAACAGACTGGAACCACTGGTGTTAAAGCCATAAAGAAAAGTGAGTAGTTAAAGGAATATTTATAATCATACTAATCAAAATATATTTTCTGTATGCAGCTTTTTTATGTTTCATAAAGATCCATCGTTTCTCTGTAGGCATCGATATCATAAGACATGTTTTTGAACCCTGTGTTATGAATAAGACCTTTGGAATCGCTGCTTTACCCTTGAATTATTTTAGTTAATAAGTGTTGGATTACATAAACCCTTTTTTTCCCAAGGCAAGCTTTCATTTAGGTATTAGTTCTGTATTAGTAGTGTTTGTTACATTGTAGAATATGGCTATGAGTGTCATTTTGAGACCACTTTTGTCATGTTCTTTTGTGTAGTTGTTTGGTTTTTATCTCGCTTATTTTTGTTGTATACTATTTTCTCTGCATGTATCTCAGTTTGGGAACGTGTGTAATAGCATTGCATTGCTGTTTATTGCTCCACCAATAACAGCCCTGCTTCACCAGCAGATGGAGCTCTTTGTTTATAGTAGGGATGGGAATTTGAAAGCAAATGTATATTCGAATATTCGACCCCCAAAAAAACGGTTAACCGATTAACCAAAATGTACATATCCTATAAAAAAAAAAAATGTGGGAAAAAATGTTACAAAAAAAAATTAAAAAAATGTAATTTTGAAAAATAAATAAATAGAATACATGTTCAAATAAGTATAGAAACCAAGTCGAATTGGTCAAATGTATTGAACTGGTGATCCCAGTTTGAACAGTTGACAGCTATAGGCCTACAGCTTTCATGCTTAAAAGATAACTTGTTTTTTAAATGAAAGAGGGATCATACACGAACAACATAACGGGTTAGGGTAACGTAACCCTATCACAACAGAGATCAACAACCTATAACAGGGCCTATGCACAGAATGCAGCTATTCAATACTCATTCTTGTTTAAGAATATGAGCATGTCTACTCAGGGGAGAGGCGGGTGCGGAGACGATTCACAATCAGGCCAGCTGTAGAGAAGACCCTCTCAGCTGGAATTTGGGCATAAGATGAGGTTTGAGTCTGCGTGATCTGCGTGTAGGGAGGGGCAGCAGCCATATCATTATCTAGAACTAGCTAGACCTGATGGATTTGGACATAAACGCGAGTGAAGTATAACCAGAGAGAGAGAGAGATCAGCACCTGCAGCTCTGCCCGCTGTGAGGGACCGGTGAGCGGAGCAAAACACACCTTGAGACCTAACACACTTAGCTATGGCACTGTCGTATACATTGAATTATTCCATTTGATAATATGTAATCGACTTAGGCACCCCTCCCAAAAAATAAATAATAATAATTACAATAAAAATATTCATAACTCATATTCTCATATTCGAATACCTGAATAATTTCGAATATTCGATGAATCGTTCCCTAGTTTATAGAGGTCTGATGTCATTTGTGAACTGTGACCTGGATCTGGAGGAGGAGATGGAGCTTGGGGGCTGTTTGGCAAATGTTTGTCGTTAGTATTAAACTACTGACGGTTAATTCCTGCCGTCATTGATTGATTGAAATGTGGGCTGGGCGTTGCTCCGGTGTTTGCAGAAGTCAGAGTCTCCTCAGTGGAGGTAGATTAACAGGTTTGTCTGTAAACACAACACAGTGAAAGCGCTCACTCGACCTTCACTGCCGTCTCCTTGGAAACACGGCAGATGTGAGATGTAGCTCCAGTTGTCAAATCATGTCAGTCTGTGTTATCATCATTCTGAGCATCACCTTTCCTCTTTACGAAGAAATGTACTCGTGTGAACGGACTACAGAGATGTTTCTGCTTTGTTCTGTTTCGTTGTGGCTCTGCACCACATTGTCACAAATATAGTACTGAAGTATAATTTAGTATTGACTTGTTATGGTAGCCCTTCTTCTTGTCTGACGGCTTTTGATTGGCTGTTTAATTAAGTAAGAGCCGGGCTAGCTTCCCCCCCTGGGTTTTCTGTCTTTAATCTTATTTAGTATGTAGATGTCAATCCTCACATCTGTCAGCTTTAGAGCAAAATGGTGCGTTTCTTCAAAATGTCAGAAATGTCAGAGCGATAAACAATATAACAATAAAAGGCCTTTTCCATTACGGTGCCACTTGGGGAAGAATATGAATTATCCAGCTTCAGGTCTTGCATAATTGGAGTTTATTTATTCATGAAAGCCTTCATACATCACTTGTACTGTTAGCCGCCTTCATTCAGAGGATATGATATGGCTGCACTGCTCCCAAAAAAAGATCTAAAAGTTTGCAGGAGAAATCTTTTTGGGATGGAATTATAAGATATTTACAGAGATGTTTTAAAGGGACCCTGTTGTGCTAAATGTTTCTTTCCTATTTGTATGTAGTGTCTCTACTGGGACATGTCTCCATGCTTTAATGTTCAAAAAGCTCTTTATTTTTCTCATGCTGCCTGTGCTGCAGCCCCTCTTTTCACCCTCTGTCTGAAACCAGAGCCCAGTCTGCTCTGATTGGTTAGCTGGCCGGCTCTGTTGTGATTGGTCAACCAATTAGAGATGTCCCGCCCCTTAGCCTATCAATGTGTTGGAGCGCTAGCCAATAGAAGTGTGAGTGTTACGTAGTGATGTCACTTTGTTACAGAGGTAAACAAAGGAGTCCAATGGAGACATTTCAGGCAGGGGAGGGCAGTGTGTGGGAGAGAAACTCCCTCTGGAGGGAACACAGGGAATTTTGCCTTTGCAGACCATTTACATGCACTAAAACCTACCAACTCTGTGTATTATATTCAAATAGATTTTTTTTTCTCCAGTGTTGTCAGTGTGATTCTCCGGGGAGTATCTCATGGGGACATCACAGGTTAAAAATGGTATTACTCTCCAGAAAATGTCAGCAAATCCTGAATGAGCTGTGAGATCACAGGAGCAGCATGGGAATTGTGCTCTGAGGCGGTTATTTTTGTTGGAGTGAAAGTGAGTGAAAGTGAGTGAGTGAGAGAGAGAGTGTGAGAGAGAGAGAGTGAGAGAGAGAGAGAGAGAGAGAGAGTGAGAGTGAGAGTGAGAGTGAGAGTGAGAGTGAGAGTGAGTGAGAGAGAGAGAGAGAGTGAAAGTGAGAGAGTGAAAGTGAGAGAGAGAGAGAGAGAGAGAGAGAGAGAGAGAGAGAGAGAGAGAGAGAGAGAGAGAGAGAGAGAGAGAGAGAGAGAGAGAGAGAGAGAGAGAGAGAGAGAGAGCGAGAGAACGAGGACCTCATCACGACACTGAATAGACCGCTGAGTCATGTAAGACGAGAGAAAAAAAAAGGCACCTCACAGAATTTAAAATATTAATCAGACAGGGGCATTTTTTGAACATAATGGGCCAGAGTAGTTGGGAATATTTAAAATAATCTGTCGGGGTTTCAGAGCCGTGTTGTTGGCTGTGAGTTTTAGCTGCAGGCTGTTACAGAAAGCTGTGTGAGAGTTAAAACGAGATTTCACGATGTTAATGTGACGAGGCAGAGCGAAGATGACAAGCATGAAGGGGCTGAGTGATAACGTGGCAAAAGATGGGAGAGGCTGTGTCATTGTCAGAGGGATTTAGAAACGCATATGTGGACATAGTGTGTGTGTGTGCACAGGGAGAGAGAGAGAGAGGCTGGTGCAGGAGGAGAGGCGAATAAAACCCCACGCCCCTCTCTGCCGAGCATCCATTTACCGAGCAGCTGATGTCTGCTGCTCCACTGGATGCGTATAGACTCAGCAGTAACAGGAGGAAGGAGAAAACCCTCGCTGCTCTGGGGATCCGGTGGATTTGGATTACACGAGGCAAAGTATTTCAACCGTGGAGGAGAAGAGGAGCTTTTCTGAAGAGCTGTGTTGCATCATTTTTGCAAGAAATGTCCACGTTGGATAAACTTCACCACGGAGGAGTAACACAGAATCTAACTGTGTGAAGGCTGTCTGAGGAGAACCATCCAGTGGATTAACACTGAGGAGTGGCTTTTAGAAAACGGCCATCTCTCCACTTTGTCTACCTGGGATTCTACAGGTTGCTTTCTCTAAAGTTTCCACCATGACGGCCATGCAGAGGCTACTGCTGCAGCTGCCGGTGAGCGCGGTGAACATGGTGAAGACGGTGCAGAGCCAGGTGCAGGGCCAGGAGGAGGACAAGAGCCCCGTGCTGACCCCCGACGGGGTGCACCAGGCCTGGTACAGCGCCCTGCAGCCCGACGAGCTGCGACACCTCCGCTCCGGGGGGTCGGGAGGTGGAGGAAGAGGAGGAGGAGGTGGAGGAGGAGGGGGGGACCATGAGGAACACTCATCACTGGAGGAAGGTGGTGGAGGTGGAAGCATTTTTCAAAGTCAACCTTTGCGGTAGGAAAATCCAGGAGAATCCCTTTGGTACTATGCTTATGTTTAAAGACTGTTTTTATTTTGAGTACATTTCACTCAATTTACCCACTAGTTGTTGGACTATAAATTGTCAGAAATACGTCAAATGCCGATCAGTTTCAAAATGTCCACGGCAACATTTTCAGCCTGAAACCAATAGACATTTAAGTCATAAAATCGTGTAATTTCAGAAGCAGGAAATGTTCAGTATTCTATCTGACAAACACAAACAATTAGTTTCTTATCAAAATATTTGGGCCATATGATTTCTTCAGATCGTTTCAGATCTAGTGTGAAGATAACATAAGACATAAGCGACATGTGAAATCGGTTCACATCAGACATGGCTTCACTTTTACAAGTCAAAAATGACTGGAACCACTTGTGAGCCGTTACAAATGAGTAGACTTGTTAAAGAAAGAGAGAGGACATATTTGCAGTTATACAGTTTACCTTTTCAGAGAAATGATATATACCGTACGTAAGGAAGCTTCATTATGATTCATAACGATCCATATAGGCATCCCTTTCATAAGACAATAAGACATGTTATTAAGCTCTGTTATGAGTCAGACCTTTGAATCATGCCAAGGCTATAGGAGCTGCTGTACCCTTGAATTAATTGGAGCGCAAACCTTTCAAATGAACATCAAAAGTGGAGCTCTACAGAAATAGATTTGCTACTACTTGGATTTTATTCTAATTTGACAGGAAAAGAGCTTTACTGAAGCCCAGTTCTGTTTGGTTTAAGCAGGAATATTTTATACAAGAAAGTCCCTGCTGATAGCGTTTGCATTATGTAAAGCAGTGTACTCTTCCATCTTTTTCTATTTCTTCTGATTCATGCACATACTTCTCTACTCCTGTTTGATGTCGGTGCAGTCGTGCAGAGCTCTGTTCTAGCTCAACTGCGTGTGAAGTTGTTTTATTGAACATTTGGAGGCTCTTCTTCCATGGAGACTTTCCACCCGGAGAGTCCTGCCGATCTCTTGGCTTTAGAGCCAGGTAACCCGACCGCCGTCGTGCTCGTCGTACCACAGAGGGTTCAATAATTCAGAGCTGATTGTAAATTCAGCCGTTGTTCGAGACCAAATCCTGAGAAATGAGAGAACCGGTGTTGGTGTAGAATTACTGTGGGCATGAAGTTTGAACCCAGAGAGTCGTTTTTCCTACCTGTGCTCAGCATGAGGCTTTCTTTCTGAGATAATTCACTGAGGTGGCATTTATAGGTGCTACATACCCAGGGCTGTGTGTCCTGCGGTCCATTCATAACTTTTTCATTCATTGAGCTTTTCAATCTTCTTTCTTTTGGCCACTTTGTCATATGTTTCAGCTTTTAGTGTGACATTTAGTGTGAAAGAGATTCTTTCTTTCATTATATTCATCTACCTCTTACTTAAAGGGGCCCTTCTATGCTTTTGGGGGTTTATCATTTCCTGTAGTGTGATATATAGGTTTCTTTGCATGTAAATGGTCTGCAAAAGCCCCCTCCAGGGCGAGTTTATCTCCCGCACTTCCCCCCCCCCCCCCCCCCCGCTTGAAATACTTCCATTGGATTCCTTTGTTTACTTCCTTAAAGGTGGGGTAGGTAAGTTTGAGAAACCGGCTCGAGATACACTTTTTGTTATATTCCATGGAATGCTCTTAACATCCCGATAGCAATGAATATCTTAAGTGCTTTGACAAAAAATCCATTAAAAATGTCATCTGTGGAAGCCGTAGTACTGTAAAAAGCACGACCAATCATCTGAGCCGGCCCGGCTAAAATAACTGGATGGCCTACCTGCCTGTCAGCCTTCCATCTGTGCACAAACTTATCTCGTGCCCTCATTGGTCATGTGCACGTTCGTGTGTGTTGGAGGAGGGGCTCTGGAAGGAAGTGGCAGATTTTTTCCGGTTGTGTATTTTCAAATTCTAGCGATCTCGAGCTGGTTTCTCAAAGATTAGCTACCCTACCTTTAACATAGTGACATCACTAACACTCGCCCTTCTTTTCAATTGTGTACCATCTCATTATACGTGAGGCTAAGGGGCGAGACATCTCTAATTGGTTGACCAATCACAACAGAGCCGGACAGCTAACCAATCAGAGCAGACTGGGCTCTGGTTTCAGACAGAGGGTGGAAAGAGGTGCTGCAGCACAGGCAGTATGAAAAAATTGCTTTTTGAACATTAAAGCATGGAGACATGTCACAGGAGAGACACTAAATACAATATGAACCTGATTCGAATGCTTTTGCTCTGTTTTTAAGCAACCTTGTGTGCTACTACTACTAACACTACACATTTAAATAATAATGCATGTGTTACTTGTGACTGCGGTTGCTGATAATTCCACTTTCACAGCTTTAACATTTCGCCTGCGCTTTAGCAAATGTAATCAATGTGTTTTGTTGTGGTTTTTTTTAATTAGATTTGTCATCAACACAAGCCACATGGATCCCTTTCAGGTTATTAATTAGCGAGGCTGTTCATGGGGGTAAATTGATATAAGCTGCCAAAGAAATTAAGATTCTGGTTGGTACGTTTCTTCACTCTATGGTGACATTCTGGCAGGTACAATCATTCAAGTTTCATCCACAGCTCTTGGCTTTCAGCTGCACGTTTGACTTGTAGAGAAAGGCAGTGAGAGCTTAGAAAGAACAAGGTCAGAGCAGCATTATGTGGCAGGAGGGTGGTTGAATGAGGTTGTTGTTGATAGAAAATGTGCTTCTTTTACCATTTGATTCTTCCCTGTATGAAGCTCAGACAGCAAATGGTATTGGCGTAGCTCTAATACATTTGAACACTGATGGATGGTGTGTCAGGGCTTTGCTGATCCCATGTTTTTCCTCTAGTGTCACAAAGGTTGACATTTTTAGTGTTTATTTGTAAAGTTTCACAGCAACTATTTGGTTAATTGTCATGAAACTTGGTGTTGCAGGAACATCTTCAGTTAAATATTGTACTTTTTGTGACCAAATGCTCGAACTAACTAATGAAATCAGCGTTAGTGTTACTCATACTCGTGTATGCGCTTCAATGCTTTGGGCAATAATTACACACATTTTGTCAAAGTTAATTTGTTTTGCAATACAGCCACATATTTGTAACCATCGTTGGCTCACCGCTCACGCCTAAAAATAAACCGTCACGAATGAATTTTATAGACACTGTCAGGTTTTAATTCGACAGTCTTTGATGAGTTTAGGTTTTGAAGCGTGTGAAAGAGAGAACCTTGTTCATGCTTCATTGAGGCGAAAACAGAAATCCTTCTTAGCTCACACACACACACACACACACACACACACACACACACACACACACACACACACACACACACACACACACACACACACACACACACACACACACACACACACAGACGCACACACACATTGTGAGTCGTGATAAATCAGCCACCTCCTCACCGTCACACCCAAGCAGATGAAACTCCAACAGCCTCCCCCTCACACAGGATTGATGTAGAACTTCTAAACGCAGTCAGATCAAATAGTTTGGAAAGTCTTTTGAAGTCATGGTTTCAGTGTTTTCAAAAGTACATGTGGCATTCACTGCATGTAGAGCAAAAGCATAGATAGCTCAAAAAGAAAAATACAACGTTGAAATCCAATTCCAATCTGAATGAATTTACATAACTCTGAAGATCCGACAGCACTTAGCGGCTGCAACATATTTTGAATCTGTTATTTAACTCTTAACTCAAATAAATTGTTCAGTTGTTTCACATTTGCATCTGGGATCAGGATGAAGTTGTGTAGGGGGCTCATGAAAGTGCAGATTCTTATGTTATACCCAACATCTGTACAGGACTATAAGTATTTAGAATGATGCCTATCCTAAAGGAAGTCAAACTAACTGTAAAAAAAACAGATGGATATTTAAATAAGGCCATGAACAGTCTGTTTAGTTAAAAATTAAAACTGAATTGAGTAATCCAGAAAAATACTTTGTTATGTCAATGGATTTATTAACACATGTTTACGCTATGCACATCAAAACCAGACTGTTCTTCCCACCACTGCATCAATTATTTTGTATATTGCCTGCTCACAACGTGACCAAAACAAGCCCCTGTTTGCAGATGCAATAACAGTCGTTATATATAATAGCTCCTTATGTCTGTATTGCATTGTTTCCACTGTGTAGCACCTGTTAACATCAGTGTGAGTGCATGAATCAGAGCATACAGTCTCCACAGCTCACAGCACAGATGCAACACAGCTCTGCAGGAAGTCACTTCACTTAAATGTTATTGCATCCTTTGTTGCCTTGGAAACTAGTTGGGGAAATGTGCAGCTCTGCAGCCATTTAATCACGTCTCCCGCCCCCGACTAAACCCCACCCAGGTTTAATGTTTGAATCCTTTAGTTTCTGGTTAAGGTCGTTTTGAGTTTTAAGTGTGAATAGGGTTTTAACTAGAAGATACCAAAAGGAAACTTTCCCAGTTCATAACTGACTTTATAACAGATTCTTTTTAACAAATGATTATGACATATCCAGTAGTTTACTGTTTAAATATTCCGATCAGGATGAACCTTATTGCTTTCCAGAATGAAATGTGACCATTGGATTCAGCCAGGTTCTAAATCACACCTTTGTGCTATCAAAGTGACGGTTTCTGAATTCTCAAAAATGTGATTTCGAGAAAGCAGCCCTTAAACTTATGTTATAAATTCCTCTTCTCTCCAGTGCATACCTCCACCTCTCCTCGACCTGCTCCCTACTTTCCATTCCCTGCAGATCACAATGTCACCCCGAGCATCATGGTCCACGGAGACTCCTGCCTGATCTCATCTGTCAACCTGTCACTCACTACTGCAAACAAAAAAGACCACCTTAAACCCACCCGTCACTCCCACTGCACTCCTCACCACTTTCACTCTTCCCTCATTCATATCCAGCTCCACTCTTAAGATTCAATACAATACGCTATGCTACGCTACACTGTGATACGATACGTTTCACTACACTACGATATGACACTCGATACGATACGCTACAATTACGATGCAACACGACTGGATATGTTAGGATACCATACGTTACGCTACACTACAAATTATGTTAGGTGACAAATATTAAGACAAGAAACAAGAGACATTTAACATATTTGCTGTCCAGATAGTTAATGAATTGGTGGGGTCAGAAACAATGTTGCTGGCCAGCCTCGATATGTTAATATGGTAACACTTTTACCCATAAACGCACCACACTTCCTCAGAGCTAACATCAGATCCGTAGTGCTCTTTGCTGGCATCAAACCGTACTGCTTCACCTCATTTAACAATGTGGTTACATCCCCAAAAAGTACAAGAATCATGCAACTGCACTAACTTCATCAACTGTGCTCTTCTACTTCACGGCACGGCAACTTAATTCATACGGCACATTTTGAACACAAGGCAACTCAAAAGGGCTTTACGAAATAAACATTAAAAGCATTATTAAGACACCTGCATCCAAACACATTTAAAAACAGTCATTAGAATGCCAATATAATAACCCTAAGTGCTGTATTTAGAGACAATAACAGATGACAACACACAATTAGATGTAACAGCAGCAGACAGATCACAATCAAGCAGAGACATGAAAAGTAAATATGTCATCCTAATTCTAGCAGCCTTCATAAAAGTTACCCCCAGAATAATAAAAACACACACAATGCACACAACGTCAATGTGCAAGTGAAATAGATCATGGGTTTAATTAAACATGTATGGGTGTTCTCATACCAACAATTGAACGTGTAATAAAAAAATAGGACATGTTGCATTATCCTAATTATAACTAATTATTTGTAAAGGTTTTCTTGCTCTAGGAAAATGTGAAGTGTTTCCTCCTGTTGTGTTACACATAGTGCAGGGCAGATGTGAAGGGTCAGTGTTTGGACATGTCATTATCTGGCGTCTCTCCAGCTGCTCTGATCGGTCCGCTCTGCTGCTGTTTGCAGGTTCCTCCTGGCAGCTTTTGTGGAAACACTCAATGTTGTTTTTGTGTTTCTGTGTGGCAGCAGGGAGGAGGGTGAGATCCTTAAAATGATCCCTCTGTGAGCTCTGGTCTGATCCCAGTGTCTCTGACAGGGGGGGAGTCGCATGTTAACTGGGTCGCAGAAACTTCTAGTGTATGTGGAATGAAAAGCAGGCTGTTGTCCTAAAAAATATATGTATTTATAATGTAGGAGATATCTTTTTAGATTTTTTTTAATTCATGTTCATTAGGGGGTTGGGGATCATTGCGGTTTTGACATAAAGAAATACTTTTTTCTGATTTCTTACTTTGAGGAAACAGCCCTTTTTAGTAGGGTTGCAACTAATGGAGCGAAGCCTGCGAGCTAGTTCAGGCAGTCAACTCGAGCACCAACGATACATTACCACGTGACGCGCCTCGTCCCTCTTACAACCAACCAAACACATTCTCCTAAACATGCCGCTCTATTTAAGCTGCCAGGTCGTCCTGCCTCTGCCTCGCTCATGCTGCTGCTGCCACTGCTGTGTTCACTTGCTATTGCTACGTTCATGTTCCTGCTGCTGTGTTTCATGTTGCTGCTGCTCGCCTGCCCCACCACCACCCCAGCTCCACCCCAGCTTCCACCTGTAGGCTCGGGGGGGATAGTTATCTAATCATCACTCAATGTTCTTTGTAAATCTGTGGAGTGATGAGGCCCGAGCCTAGACGCCAAACTCAAACTATATGCTGCTTCTAATAAACATATTAAGAAACACGTGAGTTGTCTGACTGAACTGAAATCATTATGTTTTATAGCAGAGCCCGAGGTATCAGGAATGAGTTTTGAATCTGTTTAATTTATCAAAGTATTGAATGATCGACCAACAAGTTTGAAACAACATTTGAATTTCTCAGCATGTACCAGCAGCAGTGATAACTAGATTTGCTCCAGTGTCAGAAAAAATATCATAATCTTTTAGAGACTTCTAATTCTCCACGTACCAAAAGGGTTGGGAAAGCAATTTGTTCAAGATGTAGATTGAGAGACTCTGATAAGACTTGGATGGAGCAGAACCAAAATGTGTGTGTTGGATCTGCTAATGAATGTGATTAATTTAATAACACAATACCACAGGTAGTCGATCAGTGAGAATGACAGATTGGAAATAGTGATAAATGACAATTAAGGTGACTTCTTCCAACTACTTGTTTTGCCCAATGATATTCACAATATTTATATTTAATTAAAAAATCCTCAAATTGAAGGAACAAGAAACTGTTTTACAATCGTGCTTGATTAAAAAAATGTATTGATGGATAGAAAATGTCTTCCCTATTTTCTGATCAGTTCAGCGCTCTGCTCCTGCAGTTGTTGGTTATTGAGTTATATCAACAATAAAGAAGTGAGCTTGTATGATAATATTAGACCTTCTGGTTCATTACAGTTGCACTGGTTCACGTCTTTGATAATCTTTTTGAGAAGTAAACATATTTTAGGGATTGTGTCACTTCACACCCCACTTTTTATGAGCTGCCGTTTCAAAGCTTTTCCATATTTTGCGAGCTGGATTTCACTCTTCAAAGAGAATAATTTCTGGGTCACGCTTGCCGACTTTGAGACATTGTGAGCGTTGAATGGAAACCAAACAGGTCCATGTTTCTTGTTTTGAGGTCACTCAGTTCCCCCTGCAGCTTACAAATGTTTTCTTTCCTCAGACACGACGACCTGAAGGAGATGTTGGACAGCAACAAAGACTCGCTGAAGCTGGAGGCGATGAAGCGCATCGTGGCTGTGAGTATAAATAATGTTTACTTTGGGAATTCTCCACGGCCCGCTAAGTCATGAGAAAACAAACGCCATATGTACGAGTCAACGTGCATCATTTAAAAATCATTCAGACAAACACACAAAGCGTGTTCTCTGTATGTATCAAACTGGATTTGATACATTTGAAGGATAAGAATGCTTTAATAGGATCTGCAGATTAAAATACCGTGGTCAGAGAAGTGCGCAGTCAGCTGTTAAATATTCATAACTCATAATCTGGAGCTCCACACCCATTTCCTCATTCATCATCTCTGCAGGACAGGGACGATAACAAGGGAAGGAAAAGCCTGCAAGAATAAAATATAAAACAGTTGCATTTCTTTTGCAAATTAATAAAAAATGTCACCTTGTAAATCCTCACTGCTGCTTTGTTCTTGCTCTTCTCTGCAGATGATCGCACGTGGAAAAAATGCATCTGATCTCTTCCCTGCTGTGGTGAAAAATGTGGCCTGTAAAAACATTGAGGTTTGTAAAAAAGGCTTTAATGTATTCGTTGTTTTTCTTCGGCTTGTGTTGTTTTGATCTGGTAGAGAAGTTGCTTTCTGCGTTGCTTTTTCTTGCTTGTAATTTAAGAATCGTCTTATCACATTTTTCAAAGCCCTTTGGCTTTATCTCACCTCAACCAAAATTGCAATTTCCATCCTCTCCTTTTTCTGAGGTTTTTATCACTTTATCATTTGGATTAAAACAGTCGGTTTGTTTCTGCAGGTGAAGAAGCTGGTGTATGTTTACTTGGTGCGTTACGCCGAGGAGCAGCAGGACCTCGCTCTGCTCTCCATCTCCACCTTCCAGAGAGGGTTAAAGGTACAGCAGCTTTCATACGAGACAAATACTTCAACACTTCAACACAAAGAAAAATAATTGGGTTGAAATGTTATGATGTAAATCAGAAAGTATAGGTGTCCTGTATGTTTGATTTCTAGCTGTACCGCTTTGGATCAGACTGAAACATCTCAACAAATATACGACATATTGCCATAAAATTGTGTACACACATTCATGTTTTCCAAAATATCAGTCTGAAATGAGTAATCCCTGATTGTTGATGTGCACCACCATGAGGTTGAAATATTATATTTTAAGTGTAATATCTTATTTACAATTCATTGAAATATTTTCACTTGGAAATTTGCAACAGATTTTCAAGATCCTTGAAGGAGCAATTAGAAATAACTGATCCCTTAACTTTTCATTTAGTGCCATCATCAGGATTCACATTTGAACTGGTCAAATATGTTGTTTAATGACCAAATACATTTCTCAAATGTTAGCATGCTAACAGGCTAAACTAAGAAAATGCTGCCTGCTAGTCTTTAGCATGTTAGTGTTGTCACTGTGAGCAGTTTACCCAGGGCCGTCATGAGGCCCCACGCAAAGTTATATGATGAGGCCCTCTGTTTCGCGAGCGACCGTCGACGGGGGGGGGGGTGCTAATTGCGCCGCATAAGCGTATTTTTAGCTCAGTTGAGGCACCCTCCACAAGATGAGGCCCCCTCCGCAAGGTAAGGCCCCACGCAGTCTGCATGATCGGCCTGTAGGGAGGGACGGCCCTGAGTTTAGCTCAAAGCTCATCTGTGCTAAATACAGACTAACTGTGCTGTAGACTCCTAACCAAATGAACCTGGCTTTAATATTGTTTCTGAACTTTTGGCTCTTTTCTTTTTGCAGGATCCGAACCAGCTGATCCGAGCCAGCGCTCTGCGAGTCCTCTCCAGCATCCGAGTCACGATCATCGTCCCCATCATGATGCTGGCCATCAAAGAGGCTGCCTCTGATATGTCTCCGTACGTCAGGAAGACGGCCGCTCACGCAATCCCCAAACTCTACAGGTGACAAAATGAGACTTTTTCAGTACTCAGACCCCCGATCCCCTGTTCTTTACAGTGTGGCGAACTAAGATTATTTCACTTATTAATATTTATTGCATGAGGCCTCTTTAATGACAGATATTACTGCTTGAAAACAGGTTTATATTTAAGATTAAAATAAGCAATTATACATCTTTAAGTTAGAAATCAGTGTTTAAGGCCACAGCATGAGTCATAGTCTTCAGTTTGAGAACCACGAGGCTAAAATGTTATGACTCTGAAAATGAAAGCCTTTCATGGCAGAAAAGCTTACTATTATTTATACTCAACAGTATAATTTCTTTAAGAACAATTCCTCTCTCTCTTGCTTTTCTTGTTTTATGCATTGTTTTTTGTCTTCTCTGTCCACAGTTTGGATCCAGAGCAGAAGGACCAGCTGATCGAAGTCATAGAGAAACTCCTCGCTGACAAAACCACGGTGAGTTTTCACACCACAGATCCAGGATTTTATCTGTGTTTCTTTTGACAAATGCAAATAGAAGTTTGAGGAAGTACACAACATATCAGTAGCAGCTAACTAGCTAAATGTTTTTGATTGCATCATTTGTTTAACCAGTCTCCCTCTGGCAGGCTTTGCATTCACTTTTGCAATTTGATCAAAAATGTAGTCCCTATTTACAGATTTAGTTTAGTAAGTAATATAAATATCATTACCATCATTACAAAACACTCGCTGCTACTGTACAGTATATAACTTGTGCAATATTATTATTATTAATAATGTGCTATGATAACGTGCAATTACGTATCTGCCACTACGTTTTTTTTGCACAACTAAATACTGCTAATATTTACATTCATTATGTGAGCGTCTATGTTTCATGTTTCCTGTAGATATCTAATTGCTCTTTTTAGTGTACAGTTTTGCTATTATGCTGCTGTGTTTATTGTATCTTAGTAACTCTGGCACAACAATTTCCTTCAGGATGAATAAAGTCTTACCTTATCTTAATATAATATTTATTAAACCTCAAATATATTATTTATGTAACAAATCAACTATGATAATTGAAAAATGCATTAGCTGTTTTTGTGCCTCAGTAATCGTCCTGTACATCATGTTCTGTCCTGACATTCAACAACATTTTGGTAACCCCCCCCCCCCCTGTGTGGTCAGCTGGTGGCAGGGAGCGTTGTCATGGCGTTTGAGGAAGTTTGTCCCGAACGCATCGAGCTGATCCACAAGAACTACAGGAAGCTGTGCAACCTGCTGATCGACGTGGAGGAGTGGGGGCAGGTGGTCATCATCAACATGCTGACCCGCTACGCCAGGACCCAGTTCCTCAACCCCAACATGAACGTGAGTTAGAGACACAGAGAGAATCAGTGCAGACCCCAAAGGTGGTCGGTTTATATGTACGATAGTAACTTCAGCGATTTGTACAGTACGTTTTTTTTACTTTTTCTGAGGTGATGAAACTCACGTCAGACTTATTAGCTTGCCACTGAAATGTGTAAATCAGCAACTAAAGCAATTACAATCAATTATTTTCATTCAAGATTTTTACGTCTATTTTTAATTTTATCGGGAAGTACATTTGTTTATAAAATGCAAGAAAATATAAAAATATTTCCAACTTCTTTAATTTGTTATGACTAACAATAGAAAACCTTAAACATATTTTATTTATGGTGAAAAGAATACAGAAAAACATGAATTATATAATATTTATGAAGCAAAAACCAGTACAGTTTTTGATATGTTTGCCTGATAATTGCCCTAAAAGACGTGAATATAAAGCACATTTTAAAACAACCTATGCTTACCGACATGCTATACAGACCATAGTAGGAAGCTGACACATTTATTACAAAATACAAATAATCATCAATGCTCAAATAACCATGGCATATATCATGCAAAAAGGTAAATTGACTAATTTGCATAGAAACAGGATTATTGTGCAACAACAAAGTCTACATGTAGATGCACAATTTTTATTTTGTTGGATGAATTATATTCTTACGGTTATGCCATTGTTAATGTGTAAAGGTACAAGCCACCCTATCACTGTTTTCCTTTTGCTGCTTTGCCAACTTTGGGATTTTGAGTCATTTCTCATTCGCAATATGCATGAACTAAGACATGTTTTCATACCACTACAAACATTATCATTTTAGTCATTTCCAATGCATCTACTGACAAATCTGTAGAACCCATTTTGCACCATATGTCGGTCTAACACGAGGATGTCTAATGATGCTTCACATAAACAGTGTTGCTGCCTTTAAACAAATACATTCAAAAGCAAACCGCCATCTGGTGTTTGTTTTTGTGAAGCGGCCAATAAGTATTTTCCATTCAACAGAGATTCTGTCTGGGTCTGTTTGTCCCTCAAACACACGGTTTCATCCCCTCTGTCTCTGCACAGGAGTCCTTTCTGGAGGAGGGAAGCGACAAGACCTTCTATGGCTCGGATGAAGACTCGGATGAGGAAGAGGAGGACAAAGACAAGAAGGCGGAGGCTCCCATGGTCAAGAGGAAGCCGTACGTGATGGATCCAGATCACCGGCTGCTGCTGAGAAACACCAAGCCGCTGCTGCAGAGCCGCAACGCAGCCGTAAGACACTCTGAATCACACACACACACACACACACACACACACACACACACACACACACACACACACACACACACACACACACACACACACACACACACACACACACACACACACACACACACTAACAATGACTCTCCACTTGAGCCAGTTGCCATGGCAGAAATCATAATGGCTTTCTCTCCAACATTAGCAGCAGGTCGGTTTTTTGATTAGTTGAGGTCTTCAGATGCACGACCTTAGTTTGCGCTAACAAGAAGCTGTAGTGCCTTTGAGCAGCTACTCAGATCTGACCTCTCCTTGTGGAGCGTGGATAATCTCCCAAAGGAAATTAATAAAGCAATCCACTACATTAGAGCTGCTGTGGTCATCTTGGAAAAGCCTGTTTGGATCAATGTCAGATGTTAGGAGACTCCCCGGTCACACATTATCCTGTCTTTGTTCTGCTGTTTGATTCAAGGCATTTCAAGATTAACCTTGGTCCTCATAATGCATGTTGTTTAGCAGCGTGCTCTGTAATTGTAATTGGTTTTCCTTATCCCTTATTCCTCTCCTTTTAAATATTTTAATAGCTTTGAGCCTTTTTGAAGTTTTATTTTATTTTACAAGAGAAGGGCATTCATTGGAAGTAAGCATCTACTCATATTATCTAAAGGTGCTTTAGATAATATTCATTCACTAAATGATGCTAAACAGTTGTGGAAAAAATGTTACACCCCTGATAAAAGGGGAGAAATCATCACGAGAGGGAAAGCGACAACTTTACTCAAGTGCATTTACAAGAATACAACACTTTCAAATAAATATATTGCCTACAAAAGGCTTGTTGAGACTACAAGATAGTATTTAAGAGACTTCTCTCTCATGTTAGTGTGACAACAACATAGCTCAAACATCACAAAGTTAATTAAACACAATATGAAGGTAATAGATTAAACAATAATTAATGCAAAAATAATGCATACAGACAAAAGCAATCGATCTCTGGATCCCAGATCAAGGCCATCTAAAGCGTGTTTCAGCTCTTTGTGGATCTGTCCGGTCCACACATTCACTGTTCTGGTTCCCCCTCACTGCTCTAATAGTGGCAGGCAGCTGTTTGCAGTGAAACATCCTTGAAACCACCAACACTAAGTGCTCAGCACCAAACAGCACACAGACACAGTTAGCAACAACATGGCGAACATAACGAAGCATTAAACAGCTAAAGAGCCAGAGCCCAGGAGTTAGAGGGACCCACACAGACGACATTATTGAGTTTCATCCACCAGGTAGACATGACTCCAAATGAGTTCTATTGTTGCTCCATCATTTCCAGATGTGTAAGTAAGTGGAATTAAGAGTTTGCAGGGTCAATTTAAACGGATATATGTCAATGTTGTGTTAAAAACTTTGTCAAAGTGACCAAGAAAAACGGTATCTCAAAGCTTCTCAAAAGATTATTTTTAGATCAAAAGCTGATATGAACTTTGCAGCTCCCCTTAGCGTCTTTCACCTCCTTGTTTTGATTATATGGAAACAAGTTCACTGTATTCTCATCAATCCTGTCAGTGATTCAGGCATCTGTTTTCATCTAAAAAGCTGAAATAAACTCCTTAAAGAGACAGATACTTCCCTGAGGAGGCCGGAAGCAGGGCTAAAAGATAATATTGAACATTCATGAAGTAGCCAGAAACACGATTGATGATTGAGTTTAGTATGCAGATCGAGATTTTTTGAAAAAGCACAACCCTCCCCCCTGAGTGCCAGATAATTTCTTGAACTTTAAATCAAAAATGTTCTTCTTCCATTTAGCTGTAAAACAGGGGTGTCAAACTCAAGGCCCGGGGGCCAAATCCGGGCCGCGACTTCATTTAATGTGGCCCCACAAGAGCTCTGAAAGAATATAATACGTTTATTATACGGTTACATGCCGATTTACAGAAGCACGTTGCCCATAAACTACATGTCCCACAATGCATCTCAAATATGAATGTTGTTCAGAATTTGCCTTTTTTTCTCAGAATTCGACTTTTTTGCTTTAAAATTTCACATTCTTTTACATTTTCACATTTTTTCCAGAATTTGGCTTTTTAAAAAAAATCATTTTGTGACATTCTCACTGAAGAGACTTCCAATTATTTGCCCTAGACTTCTGCTTTCAGACGTAGTTAATTATTAAGTTATTACCCTATCCCATAATAATCCAATGCAGAGGAAATATTGTAATATAATACATATACGTTTATATATATTAAATATTTATACATGTATTTTTATATAGTCTTAAAGTTACAACCGGCCCTTTGAGTGCAACCATAATGCTGATGTGGCCCGCGATGAAATTGAGTTTGATACAGCTGCTGTAAAACAAGAAAGAGGGCAACACAGTATTTGATTTACTTCTTTCATGCATATCCAACACATTGGCAGAATAAATCACATTTCACATCTGCACGGCAATAAACTGCAGCAAGAGGCAGTGATGGTAATGGACTGTTGCTTTGGAAATGAATGAATTGTAACAACAGGAGTAAATATTGAACGCCCAGATGGATGACATAGTACATAGGTTAGTTACACTGTATTTTATATTGTGCAATTGTTTTTACCCTCCTTTTGTTTTCCCTGCATCAGGTGGTGATGGCTGTGGCTCAGCTGTATTTCCATCTGGCTCCTAAAGCGGAGATCGGGGTGATCGCCAAGGCCCTGGTCCGTCTGCTGAGGAGCCACAGGTGAGCTGACCTTCTGAAATTAATTCTCTATTCAAATTGCAATGCTGCCTATTAAAGCATCAGGCCTGTTAGAAAATTAAAAACTGTGAAATGAAGGCAGCCGCATGAGCCATCTGTCAACATTATAGTGGCTGAGAATGGAGCTAAGGTGGAAAACAGTACTGCAGAAATGAGTTAGCTTTAATTAATGTTTTGTTTCTTTCTGTCATCTGGCTTTTCCAATGGGTTTTATGTTGGATTTCTGAAAAAAAATCTACGGTTAACACAAGCTAAAGAACTGTTTGCTTCTGACATAAAATACAACAGATACACATATCATTACAAAAAAAGGCAGTGGCTAATAAAAGATGGATTAACATAATATTTTGGATCCTACATTGTACAATGAATTGGCTTAATTAGACTACAGAGGTTGTCAGGGAACAATAAAAGCCATCATGCTAAAAACAAGAAACCCATTTACTCAGTGGTGATGACGTTGAAGTCCTGCGCTTGTTGTATGGTTAGCATTATGTTAGCTTATAGCAGCCATTGCTTTTATGCTTCAAAATCCTACATGTGGTGTTCAACTTTTGTGAAGTGTATCCTCCTAGATCCTAAAAGTTTCTCTTATTTCTGACATAACTCAAAAGAAATAAGCCCTTTCCGCTTTTTGTCAAAGAAACCAACGCGATGCTAACTTCCTGTTTGATTCGCTAAATACGTCAGCACATTCAACTGCGTTTATGAAACACTGCTGAATGTGCTAGGAGAACACTATAAAGAACATCAGCAAAGTGGAAAACAGTATGAGAACTGTCGAAAAAAATGACAAGTGAGGGTAGTAAAATAAATCTGCTCTGGCCTGAAGCGAGGAGTGAAATTAAACAGGGAGCTGGGTGCGTCTGAGGTAAACATGGAGGCATAAAGCATGAGGAGCGATGGCTGTAGTCCTCACACTGCCTCTTATTGAGCGGGGGTCCTGTGGCTGAGCGGCTGTAATGGGATCATCACTCAGAGCCGGCAAACAGCCTCTCTGTCGCACACCACCATATGTTTGTTAACACTTTATTATTCATACGGAGCCTCAGCGCTAATCACAAACATACTGGTTTATTACCCTGAGAGATAATGCACGCACGTTTAACAAGAATGCTGCTTAAGATTTGAAATGTTATCTTGGTCTTGCTTGTTTATTAGACAATCTACAAACATACCAGAGTGCAGATGTGATATGCATTAAGATTATTAGTTTCTGTTGACATGTTGATTTCAGTATCTGTATTGCACAAGTAACACATATTACTTCCAGAGTTGTATCTTAATCTAAGGAATAGGATTACAAAGATTCAGGAACCATGTTGATTTGATTTTCTTTAGATGTTACTGCCTGTAATGGATGCCATATGCTTTTGGCAGCTGGGAGAAATGTCACATTAAATAGATCGGCAGTGGCTCAGTCAGTAGGGGCTTGGACTGGGAGCTGTAGGGTCGCCGGTTCAAGTCCCCGACCAGACCTAAAATATGGAGTGTGCTACTTGGAGAGGTCCCAGTTCACCTCCTGGGCCCTGCCGTGGTGCCCTTGAGCAAGGCACCGGACAACCCCCTTCCCCCCTCAATCCCATTGCTCCCCGGGCGCTGTACAATAGCTGCCCACTGCTCCTAGTACTAGACTCCTGGTACTAGGATGGGTTAAATGCAGAGAACACATTTCACTGTGTGTGCTCTGGTATGTGTGACCATTGAAGAGGGGTTCATCCCTCCCAATTCTTCTATAATGTTATCAGTATGACCTACTGCAATTTTCTAAGTTATATTATTATGTAATATCTTTTTACTGTCTTTTCTTACGTAGAACTTATGTATTTTTATTTTAAAGCTCAGTTACATCTCCTATATGAACAGTTCTCTACACATTTTTTTATTAATACTCAATAATCTTTGCCGATGTATAAATATTCATACAAATATTTCCATTGTTGTGAAGAGCTGTGGACCTCTCATGGCCACAGGATTTCTCCGGTCAGGTAGACAGGATAAAAACAGGAATTTTATAATTTTTTCACCACAGTTTTTACCCTTATCATTAATGTCTTGTGTTTATGTCTATCCTTACAGTGAGGTCCAGTACGTCGTTCTTCAGAATGTGGCGACAATGTCGATTAAGAGGAGGGTGAGCGACATCTGCTGCTGTCTTTTGGTTGTTTGTGAAATCTAAAACCAAATGCTGCAGATTCACAGATCTTATTTTTCCTCTCTTCTCTCCATCGTGTGCTACAGGGGATGTTTGAGCCCTACCTGAAGAGTTTCTACATCCGCTCTACAGACCCAACGCAGATTAAAATCCTTAAGGTTATTTTCTATTCTATTTCCCTGCTATGTCGTAGTGCTGAAATAATGGAAGACTATTCATCCTTAACCTGAGGCATGGTACAGGGTGTCCGCGGGGTCTTAAAAAGTATTGAAAGTTGATAAATCAATTCCAAATGGTTGGAAGATAAGGAGGAAGGACAATCAATACTGTATATAGTAAATGTGAGGTAAAGTGTGTCGCCAAGGTAACCGGTTACAACTCCAAGTGGCGATGAGGTCTTAAAATGTATGGAAAGGGTCTTAAAAAAGGTCTTAAAAGGTCTTACATTTGACTTCAGGATTCCTGCATATACCCTGTGGTAGTATAACAAAGTATATCCTCAATCATTGTAAACCCACTTACACAGAGTCATAAAATCGACTCGTGCCAAATCAACTCCCAGGAATAAGAATGAAGCTGTGTCTAAATCAATCTGAAAAAAAGGACTGTTTAAAAATGAAAGTGCAGTTTTCTGGCACAGGTTTTAAGAAGTAAACAACAATGTACAAGTTATGCAGTAATTGCAGTAAGCCCCGTTTTGTATTCCACTTTTAATTAAGTTTAAATAAAACGTTTTTCTCTGTTTGTCTTTGCAGCTGGAGGTTCTCACCAATCTGGCGAATGAGACGAACATTTCCACGATCCTCCGAGAGTTTCAGGTACAGTCATGATGCTTTGTGAAGAACGGACACAAATAAATAAAGCAGAATCAGGTTTATTGCCAAGTAGCTTCACAGAAGTAATTTGTATTTCCATGCATATATAAGCACAGTAGGAGAAATTAAAAAAAAAACTATTATAAAATGAAAAGTAAAAAAAAGAATATTACAAGAAATATAAATGTACAAAAGAAAGTAATCAGTAATCATGGTAATGTGCAACGTTTACAGTATGGATATATAATAGTATAAGGACTGACTCTCAAGATGTGCTTTAATGCAACACATATATAAGATAAGATGAAGCTTAATGAAGCCTATAGGGAATTCAGCAGTTAAGAGTGATACTTCACTGAGGAGGGATAAGCCACTCTGTATTTTACACTTTACTAAGTGAATACTTCTCTCTGGCAGACGTACATTAAGAGCATGGATAAAGACTTTGTGGCCGCCACGATCCAGGCCATCGGCCGCTGCGCCACAAACATCGGGGAGGTGAGGGACACGTGTCTGAACGGCCTGGTGCAGCTGCTGTCCAACAGAGACGGTGAGTCCTTCTGCGTCACACTCTACACTACAGGCTTTAAATGATATACTGTATATATATAATGTGTATATAGAGTAGGAGGGATTCATTGTTGTGGCTAGTTGTATCAGATACTGGGTCAATATGATCATTTAATCAAGCTTGTTCATTTACATTTGAAAATTAGATTGAATTTAATACAACTGAATATATCCATGAAGGCAATATATGAGATATAATTATCGAGTTTTAAGGAGATTTCCAGAAAGTCTACACATTTAAACAAGGGGGGGAAAAAAGACAAAAAAATCTGGCCTGTCTTATAAAGTCAAAAGTTCAATTTAATAATTTTTTTTTAAATCACATTTGGCATTATTTTGTACCTTTTAATTTAAATAAAGTGCGAGGGGGAATAAAATCCTCAAAATAAAATAATAAAGTTTGTTTTTTAAAAAGAAAAATGACACAGGTGGCCGTGGAGCCTCTGACAGGTAAATGTTATTTCATTTACCGACCCCTTGCCTCCTGTTATTTTTCAAAAAGGGAAGGGAAGTTGAGTATCCCTGATCGAGGATGAAATGAGGAAAACATAATTACTGTTTATTTGATGATTTATGGCTGTTCCTCCTGTCGTGCAGAGTTGGTGGTAGCAGAGTCGGTGGTGGTGATTAAGAAGCTGCTGCAGATGCAACCGGAGAAACACAGCGACATCATAAAGCACATGGCCAAACTCACTGACAACATCCAGGTGAGAAACTGCTGTCATTAACTGGCTGTAAAAAATCACAGCGAAAGGAACACTAATTGTTTTAGAGTTGCTGTGTGAAAAGAGGTCTGCCAAATAAACTTGTATCCATTTTTTCCTGACAAAAGAGAAACACAACCATTTCACAACCATCTAAGGCGGTGTTTACACGAGAACGAAACGGGTTGTATCCGCTACTTTTCTCTCGCGTATAGCCCGTTCGTTCACACGAGGCCGTAACGGAACCGCGGAAACGGACCCCGCAAACGATAACGGGTCCCAAGGTAGATAGATCTGCAAACGGAACGCTCTGGGGGGCCAAACGGCTCCGTGTGCACGCCCTATACGATCATTTCCTGATAACGATGAAGCCATTGCCCCGCCTCGCCCCACCTCTGCTGCTCACTGCTGTCGCATGGTCAGTAGCTACTGACAGTAGCTACTGACCATGCGACAGATGTTAGTGCAAAATCTACAGCTCCTCTACCACAACCATCAGCAACAAGTGGACATGGAGAATTACATGAACTACATGTTTCTAAATCTACCGCGGGGCATAAACAGAAGGGCAACCATGGCAACCATGCTCGGGGGTCTTCTTCGCTGCTTTTGGTGTATTTTGTGGCGAAAGTACAGCGCCACTTACAGGCCCGGCATATGTACTACAGCGTTTCCAGTGGTCTCGTGTGAACGGACACGTTAAATGAGCCCGTTTGCGTTTGCGCTCCCGTGTAAATGGGGTCTAATTTAACTTCAATTGTTCTCAGGTGCAGATGGTTTACACTTACAAAAGCCAATTGTAGCGGCAAAAACTCCCTATGAGTTATGCCGCTGAGAGGCTAAAAGTTGCTCTTCGCTTTGACATGTTCCATATAAGAGTCCGTAGTCATTTATGGTCCATGGTGTTTAATAAAGACAAAAGAACAATATACAACTCCAGACCTCATGGTCAACAGAAAGTATCAGAGCCATTCTCCCTCTCCTCTACGTCATATCCCAAGACCGGCATCCAACAGGTGACCTATAGTAAATACCAACAAACCACACCCACGTGACAATTGCCGGAAGTGATAAACAATAACAATCAAACGTGATGCAAACAGAAATGAAGATAATACCATAATAGAAATAATAAGCAATGGCAAAACAAGCATTTTGGCTCCTAGACCAATCACAACCATGTATTTTAACTGTGGTTGTTCTCAGGTGCCGATGGCGCGGGCCAGCATCCTGTGGCTGATCGGAGAATACTGCGAGCACGTTCCCAAGATCGCTCCGGATGTCCTGAGGAAGATGGCCAAGTCGTTCACCAACGAAGAAGACATTGTCAAGCTGCAAATCATCAATTTGGCCGCCAAGCTTTATCTCACCAACTCCAAACAGGTGTGTTTCTGGAAATGTGTCACGCGTATATTTTTTTACCTTTTAATGCTATTTTATTTCTACTTCAGAAATATTTAGATTTTTTATTTCTGCTGTCTTCATTTCTCTCATGTACATTGCCTTGTTTTTTATGCTGCGACCGACCGACCGACCGACCGGCCGACCTACCTACCTACCGACCGACCTACCTACCTACCTACCTACCTACCTACCTACCTACCTACCTACCTACCTACCTACCTACCTACCTACCTACCTACCTACCTACCTACCTACCTACCTAAGATTTTGTAATGACAGCATGTATTTTCTGATTACCATTGCTATTTGAGTTTTCTCTGTGGTGAATTAAAAAAGAGTATTATGCCTTTTGATAATCGTACTACTTATTCAGTCTGCCTTCAGTTTGAACATTTAACTGTATTGCTTTCCAAAGGTTTGCTGATATGAATTAACAAAAAGTACCATACTTCAATACAGCACTCAAACACAACCAGACACATGCACACTCTTAGAAATGGTGAATATAATTGTTTGTAATGTCGTTCATTATCTTTCCTCAGACCAAACTGTTGACGCAGTACGTCCTCAACTTGGCCAAGTACGACCAGAACTACGATATCCGTGATCGGGCGCGCTTCATTCGTCAGCTCATCGTGCCGACCGAGAAGAGCGGAGCGCTCAGCAAGTACGCTAAGAAACTCTTCCTCGCCATCAAACCTGCTCCGGTTCTCGAGTCTCCATTCAAAGGTATATTGAATATGTTTTTACCTTGTTTATGATCTTTTATCTTCAGTTTTCCTAACACTAAGAACACCTTTTGAAACGGTCACCATGGCCTTAAACACTTCAGGAGTTAGTAAAACACATGATGACATTTTCTAAGATGTGTGATCAACCCTTTCTGAGGATGTCCATCTCAAATTAACTTCCATGTATCTGCTTGGAAATCATTGAAAAAAGACAATTCAGAACTTGCCAGAGAATCGTCACGTTTTAATGTTTTCTTCAGTATCAACACGATCCAGTGTAGCTAATTCGATATCATTTAATGATACATATTTAGCAAAATGCAGCCACCAGCTAAAATACTGACTCCCCTGCGACATTGTACGTTCTATTTAACCCTCCTGTTGTCTTCGGGTCAAATCTGACCGATTTACTACTTTCATCAATCATAACCTTTTTGTTTTTACATTCGATTGCATTAAGGCTTTATGATATCCTTCACAGTAGACATTTGAACATAAACAATTGCTGATCACCACGTTCATTGCATTTTGGATGATTTAGTCAACTTTGTAACACCCATGGTGTTCCCATAAAGAAAAGGAATTAGTAACCATCCGGATCAGATAAAACACACACACACACACACACACACACACACACACACACACACACACACACACACACACACACACACACACACACACACACACACACACACACACACACACACACACACACACACACACACACACACACACACACACACACACACACACAATCTAGATGTGTTCCCCCCTTATGTGCCCAATCCCCCCATGTGAAACACACACACACACACACACACACATACACATACACATACACATACACACACACACAGAACAACTTGACACATTTCCCGCTCTTATGTGCCCATCCCCCCACATGGATCACACCTGGCACACGCAATACATGTTCAGTGTCTGTTCTTTGTATATTTACTGCAGTTGTTCATGTATACCAGTAGTCTGATACAATATGTACAGTTTGAAAGGGTGTTCAATGAAATGTGGTGATGATTAATGGTTTTTGTGTTAATGTAATAGCAGTTCAAACAGGACCGGTCAAATTTGACCACGAACACCAAAGTAAGGGGGGGGAACACAAAGACAATAGGAGGGTTAAATCTCCTAATCCCCCCAAATTATGGGATTATTATTTTTTTCAATTATTTAATAATCCTTCCAATAGAATATTAATAAAAGTAACAAAGTGCCTTACTTAGTGCAGATTAACATTTCAGATTTTTGTTTTGTGTTTTTTCAGATCGAGACCACTTCCAGTTGGGGTCTTTGTCCCACCTGCTGAATGCTAAGGCCGGCGGCTACCAGGAGCTGCCCGACTGGCCCGAAGCCGCCCCAGACCCCTGCGTGCGCAACGTGGAGGTGAAGGATTCTGTGCGTGCAGTGGGAACAGTAATTTACAGAGACACAGGGGTCCTCTGGGCTCTCCAGGGGGCCACAACAGTGGAGGGGAGCGAGGGCTGCTCCTGCCCCAGAGCAGTGTCTCAGAGGGGGCCGCGCAGAGCCTCACATCCAATACTACATTTACTCCAATATAACATTTACCATCATTCATCCACTTACAGCTCATTAGCATTAACAGCTCATCAGTAACGTGCATCATTTTGGGTCATTTATCTCCAAACGCTGCCTCTCACCACCCTCCATGGAGGAGAGTGAGTCACAGAGGAGAAAAGAGGACTACACTTTCTATTTAAAAAAACTTCTGATTCACTCTGAAAACACGGGCGCCCTCTCTGCTGCACTGGCTTCTGTTTCAGCAGCAGCTCCATCGCCCCGTCCGGGTGATTTATCACCAATGTTTGAGCCAATAGCACATGAGAAGGGAACAGATTTAGGAGATAAAAATCAAACAACAAATCCGGCTCAAAATTAAAGCAAACCACTTTAATTTTGGGCTAGAGGTTCACCTACGGAGGGCCGGCACCTACAGTCATACTTTAACAAAGGGGCTACTTATATGTTATTTTGCATCCATGTTTTTACTAATTATTCCCCACAGTTTGAAGTTGAACTCAAACAAACCTTTTAAATTTAATTCTGAATGTAAAAAGTCATCCAAATTTACCAAAGTCCCTCCTCTTCTTCTCCATCCCATTCACTCCATGTGCCATCGGTTCATAACCAACTATGTGATTTAAATGAAGACATCAAATCAAAACTTGAGCGTGTCACTCTTTTGTCAAAATCAACACTCATAAAACCCACTTGATTTTGAACTCCAGGAGTGACCTCAAGTCTTGATTGTGTCATCATACTGTATTTGTGAAGTATTGTGATTGATTTGTATTCTAACACTTTATGTTTCATACCTCAGTGTTTAAAGCACATTTCAAAAGGAGGCTTTTAGCTGAATACGTAAATAAGTTGCTTTACTGTTGACCATTTTCCAAAGCATTTGAATCATGAATTGATTCCAGGCAGACAGTACTCCATCACTGCCGTTGAGAGCTGGATCAGTTTTGGGAACTCAAAGCTGATTTTCTGACAACATGCCGCATACTGTAACTTCAACTAAGTTAGCAAGGCTCTATATACTGTAGCCCCTTTATTGAGTTTTAAAACCAGAAAAACATGGCAGATAAACTACCAACATCACAGCTATGATTCCCGATGTTTTAGAGGACAATCAGTTTGCTCCAGCTGTAGCGTTAAATAACATCCAGAGGAGTAAAATGCATTCAAAATGCCACGCTTTTTTAGTTTCAGACAATAATACAGTACAATATATCTTTCAGTCACATTCACATGTTCAGTTTTAACCAGCTGTATCAATACAATCCTGAATAGGTTTCAAGTATTAGACAACCAGTAACAGAGTACCACTCCAGGGCTAAAAAATATATATAATAAAGATAGCCTGCCGCAGAAAACAAGACAAAAATAAATAACAATTAATAGTAAATAATAAAAATAGTAATGATGGAGAGAGAATACAAAAATGCCACATTTGGATTTCAAGCAGATCTCAAATCTTTGCCAGTTGTAAGTGTTTTAAAGTGATTGATAAACAATGGACGGCCCAAAGGTAGTAATTCAGTCTAAAACTGTGGGAGATTTTCACAAAGCAACCTGCCGCATTACTGCAACTAAGTTGGCAAGGTCATACCCCAATTTGACCTTTTATTGTGATCTGGCAGGGATCACTACATTAGTTCCTGACATCAACAGAAGATATACAACTCACACATCAACATGGACCACAACACAAGTCATTTAGGAACATTCAAACTAAGCTAAAATACAGTTAGGCAGGTATAAAAGACAAGAATACAAGTTACAGTGCAGTGTAAGAAATACATTACTACTTGATTCAACATTTGTGGTGTTGAAAAAGGAATAATTAAACACTTTGGAATCTCAGTTGTAAGTGTCTTACAATTTAAAGAAAGACTATGGACCACTACTAAAACACTGATTCAGTCGTAAAAAGTATGCTTTGAGGAAATGGTCAGCAGTGATGTGTAATATACAAAGTCTCCCATTGCCCCCCTGCTCTCCCTCTGCCTATCAAACGTCTCCGCAGACAGAGGAGGTCTTCACCACCGGCGAGGGGAGGATCGGCTTGCTAGGAGAACGGAGAGAGGTGCCCCCCCCCCCCCTCAGTTTGGGAGTGCGGTGGTGTTTGTTTTGATGACTGCTCTCTCTTTCACTAGAATGTAGAAACTGATGATGGTCGAACTGAAAGGATTAGTGAGAGTTTTCCCTTCAGTGCTGCTGAGTCACTGCTGAATGATATTTATCCCAGGGGTAAAGAGGTTAACTAGAAGAAACAAAATCATAATTGATTCGCTTTAAGGATTCAGAGTTGATGCGTAATTGTAAAATGTAATTTGAGAAGCAAATCAAAGAAGGGTTAGACAGTTTGATCTTTGATAGGTTACGTTACTTTGATGTCCTGGAGCTTTTGACCACTTTCCATTGCCTTCATCAAGGATGACATTTGCTAAGTTGTCTATTTGTTCAATATTTACCCTTATATTCATTATTTAAGTGCTTTCAAGACCTAAAAACTTTAACATTTAAACTTGAAGATTGCAGTTGACCAAACCATGTCCTCCCAAGTTCTTCCTACTTAGTTATTATAACAACTTGTGCAAAGCAGCCTATGTTTATTGTGTGTTTATTTGTCTGTGTGTCACCAGGATTACAGACAAACTACTGACCTGATTATCATGAAACTTGGTAGAAGCTTTGGACAAAGAAGATATCATAACATTTTGGAGTAGATATAGGGATTATAGGGATTGTTTTTAACTCATGGAAACTTGGCAGAGGTCTCCATTTTCAAAGTGCCCTTCCAGTTTACACTTATTTTTGAGCCAACAAAGAGAAGAAGCCCTATACATGTTCAAATGATTAGTAGGTTTTAACCTCCTGAAGTCCAATGGCAACTTAGCAAGCTTCATCTGTTAATGATTATTAAAAAATTGAAAAGCAATTGGATAAAAATGTGGCGCAGTGGGCTAGTGTGTTGGTGTTCGGATCAGGGGAGCACAGGTTCAAACCCCGCTGCAGTCAGCATGTCGTTGTGTCCCTGGGCAAGACACTTCACCCTCAGAGATTGTTTTGCCACACTAGCTAGCAGACCACTGACTTTAATTTTTCCGCAACTAAATTGTCTTCCTTGACATTTGTGACACGTTTTGTGGATGTGTCACAAATGTTGTTTGTGTGAAACTGAGTGTTGTGATTCAGATTCCTGCTTTCCCCCTCCTCCTCCTCCTCCATCTCCTCATTTAGTTCATTTAAATCCATGCCACTACAACACCCTGCTTTGTCACTGATTGACACATTGAATAATGCATTGTCGTGTTTTTGCTTGATTTAGAAGTAGGTAGTGAATGTTAATGTTGACTTTTTCTTTATTTAAGTTTATAAGTAACACAGTTATATTGGAGTGCGTTGATTTGACCAGAAAGAATAATTCACTTGATCTTTTTTAGGCTTCCTTTTTGACACATTGTGGTGAATACTGTAATGAGATTAAGGGTTGCTTTTGTCTCTGATATCAGAAACTGTTCTCACAAGTCTTTCGTTTTCTATTTTCGTTTTCCTGACTATTTTTTTCTAAAAAACCAAACCTCTTTCCTTCCTTTTCTCACCTCCATTCCAATCTTTTTCTGTTTACATCTACCAGGTTTTTACGCTGCTTGAAAGAGTCACAACATTAACGAGTGTGAGTCAGTGAGCGGCAAAGAGCCCGCCTCCTTGAGCCTCCTCCCATTTAGCGGCAAAACCCGAGTGCTTTTTGACACCCTTCCCCCCCCGCGCCTAACGTAGACGCTGTTCTGTGCTTAGCTCAGCCAAAGCTATCTGAAACACAGCCCCCTCTTCCTCGGTCTCTGCCATTAAAGAAGTGATTCTTTTAGCAGGAAGTGACACGTCGAGATGCATTAGCAGCCGTGTGGGTTTTAAATGTCCACTCTTATTAGCTGATGGCTTCAGTTAATGAGTTTGGTCGCAGAAAGAGCAGGAATTTCTTCTTGTTTAAAGTGTGGGAGGAAGGTCATTTCTCCTCAAAGACATCACTTCTCTTAATGGAACTGCTCCCTGTATTAAAAGAAACCCATTTCTGCAAGTGGTCATGAAGGCATCGCCTGGTGTTAACATCCATCTGTGCACAGCATTACTGTCTGCACTGTTTTGTGCTCTCTGAGGGCTGCTTTATCGAGGCCTTCATGGCCACGCTGCTGATATCTGCCTCGTCTCTGCTTCTGTCTGAGGGGTTTATCACGAGGCGAGCTGGAGGCGCTGACTGTCTGCACTCTGCCTCTCTGACAGGTGCCTGAATGGACCAAATGCAGCAGCCGGGAGAAGAGGAAGGAGAAGAAAGTGGACAAGCCGTTCTACTCCGACTCAGATGGAGAGTCCGGGCCCACGGAGTCAGCGGACAGCGGTAACTTTAAGGGGATGAATTGGTGCCAACGAGGCGACTACAAATTAATTCTTATTATTGATCATTCTGCCCTTACTTTTAAAGAGGGCATATTCTGCTTATTTCCAGGTTCACATTTGTATGTTGTTTCTCTGTGACATGTCTCCATGCTTTAATGTTCAAAAAGCTCTTTATTGTTCTCATACTGCCTGTGCTGCAGCACCTCTTTTCACCCTCTGTCTCAAACCAGAGCCCAGTCTGCTCTGATTGGTTAGCTGGCCGGCTCTGTTGTGATTGGTCAACTGGTTAGAGATGTCCCGCCCCTTAGCCTATCACGTACAGTGTGTTGGAGCGCTAGCCAATAGAAGCAAAAGTGTAACATAGTGATGTCATTTGTTACGGAAGTAAACAAAGGAGTCCAATGGAGGCAGAGTGTGTGGCAAATACATAAACATATATAACTCACTACAGGAAAGAGAAAACTCCAAAAATCTATACAATGTAAAGAAACTGTGGAAAATGTCCATGATGATATATTTTAATATCTTAAATATCCTTTTTATAACCTAAAGATATTCAGTTCAATATTATATATTTTTTAAAAGCGGAAATCTTCATATTTGAGATGCTGAATTCAGACATTTCTGCCATTTTCGCAGGACCAAATGTTTTAGTTTAATATTTCTCCGTTACTTAAAGGTGGGGTAGGTAATTCACTTCAGAAACACTTTTTGTTATATTCCATGGAATGCTCTTAACATCCCGATAGCAATGAATATATTAAATGCTTTGACAATAAATACATAAACAAATGTCATCTGTGGAAGCCGTAATACTGTAAAAAGCACGACCAATCATCTGAGCCGGCCCGGCTAAAATAACTGGATGGCCTACCTGCCTGTCAGCCTTCCATCTCGTGCACAAACTTATCTCGTGCCCTCATTGGTCATGTGCACGTTCGTGTGTGTTGGAGGAGGGGCTCTGTAAGGAAGTCTGAAGGAAGGGGCAGATTTTTTTCGGCTGCGTACTTTCAAATTCTAGCGCACTCGAGCTGGTTTCTCCATTCTTACCTACCCTACCTTTAAGTAAACAATTAGTTGGCTAATCCTGGGAGCTCTAGTCGTACTATTACTGTAATCCTTTTATGTTTAAAATATTCAAATTAAAACTATAATGTTCTCCCTGCAGAGTCGGACTCAGCCAGCGGCTCGGAGAGCGGCAGCGGCCTGGAGGAGAGCGGCTCGGGGTCAGAGAGCGAGGAGAGCGAGGAAGGCTCCGAGTCTGAGGAGGAGGAAGAGCAAAAGGACAAGAAGAAGAAGAAAAAGATAGAATTAAAGAAGCCTGTGCAAGAGAGCGAAAGGTAGAACATGCTTCTGTTTTCCTAGTGTTTTAACCTAAACTGAAAAAAGTTAAGATATGACTCGTTTTAGATCTTTTGATCTAAGTGATTTGTCTCATCCCCTTACATAATAACTCCAGGGCTCTAACTGATCTTTCCTTTCCAGCGAGCAGAGCAGTGAAGAGGAAGTGAGGAAGCACGAGAGGAAGAATAAACAGCGTAAGAGCGTCTCGGAGTCTGAATCTGATGATGAGGAGGAGAGCGAGTCTGAAAGCAGCCAATCAGAGTCTGAAGACTCGGAGTCTGAGGCAGAAGTCAAAAAGAAGAAAAAGGTAAGAAAAAACAACCTAAAATGATAAATACTTTCTTAATATCATCTTTAAAACACTCATTGAAGTATGGAAGAAATACTCCTGTATTTAGACTTAGCACAGTCACTTGAAAATCTGTATCTATATTTTCTTTCCTCCTCTTCCAGGCAGCTGAAACTAAACCTCCCCCTAAGCCGGTCAAGAAAGAGTGCAAGAAGGAGAAGAAGGAAATGTCTCTGCTCGACCTCGATGACTGTGAGTACTTTCACCTCCTGTAAAATGTCTGCTCTCAAAGGGAATGTATAAGTGCTCAATTCAGGAAGGCACAGTCAGTGGACAAGTTTGTTGTAAAGTATGGAAGTGTTTCTCAAACTTACAGGATCAAGCAAGAAATAAGATTACAATAATTCAAAGGCTTTTTCATCATAATCACAATAATTGCAGCGTAGTTCTTGGAAATGATCCTGTCGGTTTTTCTGACGTAAAACAGAAAAAAAGACAGATATTTGTGCTCTATGTATGAAATAAAAAATAGGTGAATTCAGTGAGGTGTAAACTTTTGTACATCCTTGTTTATAAGTCATACTCTCCTGTCTCTTTTCGCAGTTGAACCCACTCCGTCTCCTCAAGCCACGCCCCTGAACAGCTTCCTGTCCAGCAGCCTGGTGAACGACCTGGAGGGACTGTCTCTGTCCGACGCC